AATTAATATTTTAAATTATTGTTCAAACATATAACTGTCAACAATGATGTATCAAAAGAGTAAAAAAAAAAAAGTCAAATTAACCAAATAATCCCACTCCATCCAAAATAGTGTACAGTTTTACACTTTACTATAAAGGATCCCTTTAACATTTGTGGATATTTATAATGCAGTAATACAGTACAATAATATATGTTAAAATATGTGGTTTTTAATCATTACAAGGTAGTAAACTAGTCTGAAATGTTTAATACTCAAACAGGTTTGGCTCAGTATTTGGAAAGAAACCGAACAGTTTAGTCTCTTTTTTGACCTTAATTAATGCATAATAAACACTTATTAATAATAATTTACAAAGTGTTTACAGATGAATTAATAACCTATCTATAAACTCTTTAAAAGCCATCTATAAGGGGAGCCTTATTGTAAGGTGGTACCAATTTTTTAAATAAACCTTTTAACAGGTTCAGACTGTAAATAAGTTAGGAGGAGAAAAACGTTCTTTTAAAATCTCATCTCATGTTTATTAAACTTCACGTGACCAACCTCTGTAGCCTCCGCCGCCGCCGCCCGACATGCAGCCGCCCCCGCCACCCCCGAAGCCGCCGCGGGTCTGCCAGAACTTCTGACAGGCCTGCCCTCCCTGGCCCCCCAGCACCAGGGGTCTGCCGCCCGGGCCGACGGGCGCGCTGTCGTTCCAGCCGCCGCCTCCACCTGTCACCAGAGCACATTCATGTGAGGCAGACTGCTGCGGAAGCTGGAACACAGGGCTGGTGACCAGGTGTTACTTCCTGTGAGTCATGGCCGTCAGAACAGACGCTTTTAAAAGACTCCACTTTAAAGGAAACACGTGAAGCTCGCTGCGGTTAACRCCAATCAGACATGTGGGTCAAGTTTAGATTCATCTGTTTCTGTCTGAGCAGCAAAAACAAACAGGAACAAACATAAAAACACAACTTTACATTGTTTCAAAGTAGGTGTGAACAAACGGGAAGCAAACACTGCGTTAGATTTTTTCACACCTTGTCACTTTTTGTGTGGTACATTTGTTTACTTTGTCACTGTTTTTCCCCTCTCAATCGAACTCCTGCTATCTGTGAACACCGAGGCARCTGAATGTAAATCAGCTGTATGTGACTCACTATTCCGTCGGGCTGAAAACAACAAGCACAGAGTCGACAGGAAACTGGAGTYACAAAARCAAAGAAAATGGAGACTCTGTTTATTCTGGAGGGCATGAGAGGATATCTGTACGATTCGGATCCTGAAGCTCCATACAGACTTCACAAGACRTAAGACATCTGTTCTCTCGCTCACGAGGTTGTGAGATGATCTTTTTTGCGAGGACATTTCATCTTTTGAAGAAAACCTGTAGCGAGAACTCCTGGTGCGTCCTCCCACTGCAGCAGACGTCACACGCAAACCAACAGAGTGGATGTTTATTTTCAGCTGATGATGGAGGAGTTGAGGAAGATCTTCTGTTTTATTTTTCTATTAACTGAGGAGAAGCACGTTCTTTGACTATCTTCATAAKTTTTGCTGAGTTTGTAAAGGGCTGTATTCTCCTACAGCCTCAGCAAGCTGCTCTTCAGTGGAACAGCTGAAGCAATACGAGATGATTACAAATGAACCACGAAGCTTTGAGCAATCACACAATATTTGCCACTAGTGGTGGGCACAGCTATCCAAATTATGCTCCACTAATGCTAAACTGCTAAATAGATTTAAAAAATAAAAAATTAGGAGAAGCTAATGCTAACTGCTAAGGGCCTGTGTCACACTGGTTGTCTCAATTCATGGGTTGCAGCCGATGGTTGGCCGCATTTGTTGGCCTCGCACCATAGGCTGTCCCAATTCGTAGGCGCCTACACATGAAGCAGAAAAAATGCAGTCAATAAAAACCCAAAAACATCATCTTACGGTATCCCAGAATTCATTGCGCCGTCAGCAAATTTAACAGAAAATTAAAGACGGTGACATTTTTCTTTTAATTTTACAACAGGTTGTTTTTTTTTTATGACGGAGTTTGGAAATTTATCACAAACCAAAAAATGTAAGTTAAACAACTTAGCTGAAGAGACTTTGTTGCAATGAGATGTTAAATAAAATGCAGGTACGAGTACTGATACTAGAGCTAAACTCAAATTATTAATGCTTTTTATTTACTTACTTATAACTTTTTTCTATTAAAACTGAAWTTTATGAAGTTATACCTTGAAAAAACAACAGAAGCGATGTGATATACAGTAAAACGTATCACCATGATAATGAGACAGCGCGTGGTCACACAATATGTCTCTGGTAGTCTAGACCGTCTCATTTCACAGCCGTTTATGCAGCCGACACAAGCGGCCTACGGGCCACGTAGACTGTGGCCAAAGTCGGCCGCGGTCTACGTCGGTTGCAACCCATGAATTGAGACACAGACACTGATGCAAACATGTTAGCTTTCCATTTGTTTAATTTGAAGGTCTGAAAAAAAACCTATTTTTCTGCTCTGACAGAACAATGCACCACTTAAAATGGCGCTCTACTGCATTTTTAGCAAACAGCGTYAAAACATAGTTTTAGCCTAATAGCTGCTATGTAGTACTACAAATATGACTGGCTTAATGTCAAGTAATCAAAACAGAACTGCTGAACCCCGAATAAGTAAGTTTCACTCTCTGYTGATGCGAGGAGCAGCCATGTTGAAATGATGACGTCATGCCTGGTCATGTATGGTCGTGTTGCACCGATTTCCTGACTCGAAATTACAACATCGGGGGCCGCTTCAGTTGGAAYGCATCATAAGTTGTGATACTGTCAGTTTACCCCTTTCGAAATAAAAGCTTTTTTCTATAATCGAGTTTGTATTTTTAGTCAAACAACAAATATCAAATACTTTCTTTACCATATTTAACATGTAGTCAATTCTTGTAATTGTTACTTAAATATTGGTAAATGTTATTTGATGTCTTTTTGGCACTCGTAGCTTGAAGTTAAGCTGCTAAAGATGCTACACACTAAACACACATTGCCTTACCGCTTGTAAGAGGGGATTCGTTTTTATTTAAATGGGGATAAATGGCATAAAAACAGAGGTTTTACACTTTTAGTGGACTTGAAATTAGCGGAACCCAATTTAGTGGAAGCTACTCAGTCCACTAATGGTTTCAAAAGTTAGCAAAAAAGCTAAMGAGAGGCTAGTTTTGCTATAAGTGGAACTTTGTTCATGACTGCTTCGCCCAATCCACTGTGAGAGAAAGGTTCTGCCAAGAGTTTGCACAAGAACAAAAAGATGTGACTTGTGTCATTAAGAACAAATATTTTGACATCTTTCTGAGCATAAATCAGCCTTTATTATTAATTAAAGAGAACAATTACTGGTGGATTAGCGGCAGCTTCATTACTGGTGGTTGTCTGAGAAAATAGAGACAAAGTGAACAACAGTCTCATGTAAAAGTGATGAGATGTAAAAATACGTCATTTGTTTAAACTGCTACGTGAGATTTGAGCCGTCTTAGACACCTTAAAGTAAAACAATCAGTTAAGTTACACAAACAGCACAATATACACACAGCTGTGTGTCATTGTTGTGTACCTGCAGAGTGAGACTTCCCATTGCGACCTGGTTGGCTGAGGTCGTAGTCCATCTGCTCCAGCTGGGTCTCTGATTGGCTGCTGTAGCCCAGACCGCCGCCACCGGCAGCGATGATGAGGGGGACATAGACGCCTCTCTCCACCTGAGGCAGCATCAGAAACACGTTTTTATATAAAACGCTACAGCAGATAAACTATAAAATGTCCGTGCCACAATAAAACGCTCTTTAACAAGACTTTTATTTTTTTGCAATTTACTTTTAATTTAGGTTATTTTCTCCAATTACTATATTCCAGTTTAAAGTGCAGCAAAGCCTCACATAAAGGCTTCACTCATTTTGTTGCAAATTGAATAAATTTTGAATAAACTTTGAATAAACTTTGACAGTTTCTATCACCACCTGGGACAGACAAAGTTATTCTCTTCAGTAAAATAAAATATTTGCTGCGTTTTCTCATAAAAACTAAATAAATAAATAAATAAATAAAATAAAATAAAAGATGCCTTGCTGCTCCTGATAAATGCCAGTTAAGGTCAGCGGATGATGGATGGTCGACAGCAGACAGGAACAGCCCTGATTATCAAATCAGAAGATAATTTATCTCTTTGTTTCTCGAGTCAAATACTTTTCATCTCTTCTGATGGTTTGCAAACCTTTTCATCGAGTCAATTTGTGCGTTTCTCATCCTCGACTTCGTTCGCCACATTTATGATTTGTGTTGTAGATGATGAGTTATGAACGTGAAGCTGGAGTTCCATTTCCATCACATCGACACTTTTAATCAGATCAGATTCAGATTAATCGGTTGTTAATTCAAAACGCTCAATGTTTCATTCCACCCCACCCCCCTTCCGCGATTTATTTTAATCACATCAATTTTTAATCAGGTAATTTCGGGTACTGTGAAGTCGTCGCTCGTGATCAGGAACGCTTTTCACGTGATCAGAGCAGATCTGGTTCAGATTTGCTTTAGTCACAGTTAGATGTAGATTAACTGATCAGTTTTCTCATTAATTAGACCAGTTAGTATTGCGGTTTTACAAAAATCAGCCAAAACCAAACCTGAGAAAACCAAGCTGGGCAGTGTTGTGTTGTTATTACAGTACGGGGCTGCTTGAACCAGTAAGACTTGTAAAGACTTTATGTTTATATTTGGACTCTCACCCACCTCTGAACAACTGTCCATATGTGCCGTCTTTATTATTATTTTTTAAAATAAACTCCATCTATAACATCTTTTCTTTTGTTCGGCTCTAAAATTGCTTCAGAAGCTTCTGTAATGGAAAAAGCAACAATAAACAAGTTTCTCACAGTAAAAAACACATTTTACATCCCACTTGAAAACAAATCAAATCATCAAGTTGATTCTTCTTCCCTGTACATCTTGTGTTTTTCTAGACGTTACCTTTCAGAGGATAAAGGAAGGGCTCGCCGTCTGGGCCGAGGAAGGACGTCCCGTCATCGCCATCGGTTCTTGGGTCGTCGTTCAGGGAAGTGTTACCGCCTGGGAAAGAGCAGAGCAGTAAAATCTTAACTTTACAATCAGGCTCCCTTTATAGATKACTTTTAAATTATTTATAGATATGTTATTAATTCATCTGTAAACACTTTATGAAACATTAATAAATGTTTATTATGCAATAATAAAGCATGAGAAAGAGGCAAAACTGTCCAGATTCTTAGCAAATAATGTGACAAATCTGTTCACGTATATTACATCTAAAGGTGCTTCTTAAACATTTCAGACTGGGTTACTACACTGTAAGCACAATAATGATGATAAACATATTTTAACATATTAATATTGTACTGTATTACTGTATTATAAATATTCACAACTGTCAAAGGCAGACTTATTAAGTGTAAAACAGTACACGATGTTTTAATGACAAAAACATTTATAAAGGCCAAAACTTAGTCTTTAATGTGAAAATCATCATTTTTAAAACTTAGTGT